CGAGGGTTCACTGTATACCTTTTGGGGGCATGCCAGCCCACTAATTACAGGTAAAGACATACGTCACAGAAGGGGTTACACTATAGGTTACACAGTAATGAGAAGGGGTGGTCTAGGTGGTGGTCTCTGGGTCTCCATAGAAACCATTATCAGTAGGGTGAAAACTCCGCCTACAGGAGCCTGTCCACTGTCCCCAGAGGCAGGGAGCAGGCCCACCGGTGGTGGGATGAGATTGCAGTCTGGCAACTGATTGCCCTCAGGGGAGGGAATGCCTGCGCGTCTGACCTCCCTCCACAAATAGAGACAGAAGGTAAAGCAAATGGGGGAAAAGCAGATATTTCAAGAAGTTCAATAAATGCTTTGTTCTGTTCTTTTAAGTTTTCTGAAAGTTTGATAAATGGACCCACTATGAATATAATGGTGTGGGATTCTGAGCAAGAACTTTATGCATGCTTGAATCACTTCCCTAAATGATTCAAGACCAGTATTGCCAGAACCCTTTCCTTTTCATCCCCTCCTCATCCTCATTTGGTTCATCCATCTGGGCCATGCTGAGGGAAGGGTTATGAGTAAGGGAGAATGTGATGTGCTTTCAGGATCCAGTGACATTTGAGGATGTGGCCGTGATCTTCACAGAGGAGGAGTGGGGGCATCTGGTGCCCATTCAGAGGGACCTCTACAAGGAGGTGATGCTGGAGAACTACTGGAGCATTGTCTCACTGGGTAAGGATAGCTTCCCATAAGGAGTTAGAATTGTATTATGTTCACTAAGGACTGATGCCTTAATGCCTTTTCTCCCCACCCCTAAGTTTTGAACCAACTGAGAGACAAGATAAAAGAGTAAAAGGATGTGGCTTAAATGTAAAGCACCAGTAGGCACTGGCAGATTGTTTTACCCAGCCATAAGACGTGCTAGACACTCCCGGACTGCTTGCTTAACAGCATGCCCCACAACATGGCAGGAACTTAATTTCATACGGAGGATGAAGGGTGGAGTTAGGGGCTACCTTGCAGGAAAGTTTTCTCCTCACAGAAGTTAGAAGAATGGGGAAAGAGGCATTTCCCCTCAGTAAGGGGTGGGAAGACGAGAGTCAGAGGGTTGTGAGCCTGAGCAGGTCATCAGAGCTGTGTTTGGGTTTGATGATTTGTCTTAAGTGCAGCCAAGAGAGATGTTCACAGAATGCACTTTGTAGTTAACAGAGCCTGCATGAAAAGGGAAACACGAGTGCTACTGCTCACAGTAGCAATTGCTGGAAGTAATCTCAGGCTCCTGTAGGTACTGAGAATGTCTCAGTAGCTTCAAGAATAAGAAGCTGAAAGATTGAACAGTTTGGGAAGAAAATTAAAATAAGCAGCAAGTGGCAATAAAAAGAATTGTATAGGTTTCATTCAAGAAAGTCAAAAGAGCAAGTGTTAACATCTCTGTATTAACTTCAATGGGACTATTGGGGAGGTATTAAAGGAGACTTCTGAGCCCTCATGACTTAGTGGGTACGAGTTGGGCTGCTAAATATAAGATCTGCAGTTTGAACCCACTAACCAGTCAGTGGGAAAAGAAGGGCTTTCTACTTCTATAAAGAGTTACAATCTTAGACATTTACAGGTGCAGGTCTACCCTGTCCTTGAGTGTCACTATGAGTTAGCCTTGACTTGATGGGCAGATAGTTGATGGGCAGGAGTTGGGGGTGGGTGGGTGGTGACACAGGTTCGTTTGTTAGTTTTAACCTTTAGGAGCCCTGACAGCAATAGTGGATTACACGTTAAGCTGCTAACTAAAAGATGACCAGTTCGAACCCACCAACCAATCCATGGGAGAACAAGAAGGCTGTCTTCCTCTGGAAAGATATATAGCCTCAGAAATCCTAGGGAGCAGTTTCTTTCTATCATTTAGGGTCACTTTGAGTCAAAATTGACTTGTTGACAGTTAAGTTGTTGGTTTTTTTAAAATTGAGCCTTTGCCACAAGCTTTGAAATGATGGACTAATAAT